GCTGAAGCCTTTGTATGATAACGAATAGGAGTTCCCTGTTTCAAACCTCAACCATAGGATGAATCCTTGGCATGACAACATTAGGACTTGATAGTTTCCCCTTAGTTGTGTCTGTTCTCTTCTCTCTTCAAACAAATCAAAATAAAATAATAAAGGTTAATTGGTATCGTACGTTACGAGCCTTAAGCTACTTAGGAAATGATTGTTGGAGGGTTTCCTTCTAATGATCAGGATGTTTAGTATGGTACCCTTTGGGTGACATGCGACGCATTCACTCCTAGGTCATAGTCTCTAGTACGATATTAGTTGCAAACATCCATAAAAAGCACTTCTTCCGTAAAAGACAGAAAACAAACTTCAAACCTTTTTGCCCAGTGGGCCCACAATGAAAAGGAAGACTTTTCTAAAGAAAAGAGTGTCGTTAACTCTCAGTTCTACCGCAAACGGTAACGTACGAGTCTCTGACGAGCAGGCTGCATACACCAAACTGCTGGAACTGTTTGTTAACCCTACTCGGAAAAACAGATGAATCCGAACCCCCGTAATCCGTATCATCCCGAACTACGTAAGCTCCGATCTCTCATATCTGTTGAGAGTACGTAGGCACAATACTGACGTATTGGCGAGCCACCTTCCCCGTAACCCGTAGTTAGGCGAACTACGTTGACTCTGATTTCTCGTTCCAAACGGGAATACGTAGGCATAGAACTGCTGTGTTCTGCCGAGTCATTTTCTTTTTCTTTTCAGACCAGACTTTTAGCGTAGATAGATAAACCAACCCTTCAGATAAAAACAACAAGTGTGGATCCCATCGAGTACGATGGACGTGAGGGGTGCTAATACCTTTCCCTTGCGTAACCGACTCCCGAACCCAGACATGGTTGCGATGACCTTGTCTTATACCTTTTCGTCAAGTTTTTCCGATCGTTTCCTTTCCAGTTCTGAGGGATAAATAATGAAAGGTGGCGACTCTTCTGTTTTTCCGGCACCTTATTTTCGCGGTAGCGACACTAAGGCAACTCACACACACAAACACGACCATTTTTACAAAACACCTAAAAATATTTTTATATGAATCCTTAATTGATTACTGACCTGTTTAATCAATTAAAAGGACTTTTTGCACTGGTTAATCGATTACCAGATTATGGTTAATCAACTATCTTATTTGCAACACCTTCAATTAATTATAGAAATATTTAATTAACGAATGAAGGAGAAATTCAAATACTTTCCATATTAGGGTTTTCTAATCAATTAAAAACTAGGGTTAATCGACTAAGACATTAAAAACAACTATGGACCCTTTTATTTTTTATCCAATTCTTTTCCTATAAATAGAAGATTTTTCTTTATTCCATTTCATATCAATTTTGAAATTGAAACTCTACTTTCTCATTTTCTACTTTTTTCTTCTCTATTTTAATTCTTCTCTTGAGTGATATATTTGTTTAGTTCTTAATATTGGCCAATTAAAATTTATGTTTGATTCGGGAGTTAAGCCTATTAAAAGATCTGTTTGGTTTAAGATCGACAAATATAAAATATCTCATTATTGTAAGAAGGTTTATGGACATATCTTATAAAAATGTCAACACATATTTTAATGGAACTCTCAAGAGGGAACTCTTAGGGATAGCAGTAGGCCAAGTGGTAGGCGAACCTGAATAAAATTCTGGTGCAATCCTTCAAACTCCATTTTTGTATTTTGTCATTTATTTTTCTTTTCTATATAATTCATTGTCCTATCTTTTCTTCGTTGTTTTATCTTTGTTGGACTAATATAAACCAATTTTTAAATAAAATATTTTTTAAATATTTTTATTTATGAATATTACAATTCACCCCTCCCCTCTTGTGTTTGAAGTCACTTGGTCAACAAGTGGCATCCAAGCCTACTCAAATTGGTAAATTGCAGAAACACAATATGAAGCTAAAAAGACTTGCATATGATGTGGAAGGTGACAAGAAGAAGAAAACTCTAGCAATCAATATCGAGGAAGAAAAAGATTCTAATTCGGATTAAGAAATGAAGCTATTCATTCAAAATTTTAGAATAATTATAAAACACGAAAAACAATAAGAGGATCAGTAAAAGAACGAATAAATGTCCTCATTTACTCCTACATACTTTTGATGTGGGAAGAAAGGAAACATAAGACCAAATTTCCCTCAGAACTAGAGAAGGAACTAGAATCACAAAAATTTAGAAACCTAAAAAAGAAGTTAAGAAAACCTACATCGCTTGGGACTACTATGACATTGATTCCTCAAATTATGAAGAAACTAACATTTGTCTTATGTAACTTCACATTTCTCATATCATGATTTATTTCTCATTTGAAAGAAATTTAATAAAAGAACAAGTTAACATTTTGTCTTCACCTCTAAAACCAAATAATTGTAATTCAAAACTCTTTTTCTTCTCACAAAGTATTAGTTGAATCTATCAAGTGTGATCAATGCGATGTTTTTAAAAAATTTATGATTTATAAAATACACTTGATAAATTCACTAAAGAAATAGATAACTTGAATCTTCTTCTAAGTAGTTAAAGAGCATCATATAATAATCATATAATAAGGTTAGTTTAGGTTATGAATCTAAGAATGATATTAAAAACGTTATTAAAATATATCATGTTCATCATAAGTACTACGGTCGGCCCTGTGGGTGTGTAGGATGAGCCACTGTGCAGGGCCTCGATAAAAAAATTGGGTTCAATTAATTTATATATAACTTAGTTATATTATATACATGTTTGTGAATTTATTAACTGATTTACATTGTAGTTCAGCAGATAGGTTTACATTTTGCAATGTAAAAGTCCTTGGTTTAAATCTAGGAATTTGATTTTTATGATTTTAATTGTTTCTTTCACACACAAAATATTATTATAAAGACTCAAACACATGACCATTGCCACAAAAACCTTACTCTACCACTACACCAATAAACAATTATTGTTTAAAAGTTAAATTGCTCAATATTTGTTTACTAATGATTTTTTTTTATAAATTCTATTAGTTATTAGAGGTCTTATTTTTTAATAAGAACATGGCCACTAAAATGTTTGGGCCGACCCTGATAAGTGCAAAATCCTTAAATATAATAGTTGTAATAAAAGTGATTATATTACTTCATTGTCTTTCTTTCTTTTGTGTGAAGTTTATGGTCCTTAGAGATTTTTGTTGTTGTGATGTTATATACTAGATAGGAATAATTCTGAAAGTCATGTTGTATAGTTTTGGAAGTTGTTGTATAGGTCTGATAGTTGTTGTGAATTGATGATTGATGTTTGTAATTATGTTTGGTGAATCTTTTATAAGTTAAAGGTTCTGGAAGTGGATAGAATTATGGATGTTTTCTTGGTGTACGAGGTTTGTGTTGAATTATAATGGTTATAAAGTTTATGTGTTGAGTTGTAGTGGTTATAAGGTTTATGTGTTGAATTATAATGGTATATATATGTTGAATTATAATGGTATATAAGGCCTATGTGTTGAAATAAAGGCTTCTGCTGAATTATAAAAGGTTTGCGATAAGTTTTTATAAAAATTTGAATTCTAATGGTTTGTGCTGCCATTTTATAATAAAAAAATAAGACTTATGCCAACATTTTAAACAAAAAACGCTTCCTAAAAAAGTGTTTTAAAAAGTGCTATTTACGTGGGAAAAAGAAAGCGCTTTGTAAAAAAAACGTTGTCTAAAGTGGATAAAAGAAAACGCTTTTAAAGAAAGCGATGCCTAAAGTATAACGAAAAGATACATAAGGCAGTGCTTTTAAAAGAGCCGCCTAAGGGGGGGGGGGGGGGGTAGAGAAAGCGCTTTCCATGAAAAAACGCTGCCTAAAATAAAAAGAAAAGATACATTACACAGCGCTTTTAAAAGCGCTGCCTAAAGGGGGGTAAAAGAAAGAGTTTTCCATAAAAAATCGCTTCCTAAAAGTGACATTAGAGAGCGCTTTTGCATTTAAAAGGAGACCTAAGGCAGCGCTTTTGCATTTAAAAAAGCGCTGCCTTTACCTACAGTATCGCCACTTTAGGCAGCGCTTTTGCATTTAAAAAAAGCGCTGCCTTTACCTACACTATCGCCACTTTAGGCAGCGCTTTTGCATTTAAAAAAAAAACATTGTCTTTACCTACACTATCGCTACTTTAGACAGCGCTGCTAAAGCCCAAAAAAAGCGCTGCCTTAGGTATTTTGTGGCGTAGTGGGAGTGCGTCGTAAAAATATCAAGGCATATTTTAGTAGAACTCTTAAGAAAAAATTCTCTAAGAAATAAATAAATTTAATGATAGACGAAACATGTATAAATTTTTAGTGCAATTTCACCAATTTTATCTTTTTATTTTCTTTCCTTTGAATGTCTTGTTCTCTCTTCGCTACTTTATCTTTATTGGCATGATGTAATGATTATTGGCATGATGTAATGAGCCGTTTTTTTTTTTTTTATGTATAATACACTTTATTTTATTGAACCGATGTAAAATGAGTATGATATGTTATGGATAATACAATCGAAAATCATAAAACCTTTGTTATATATATGTTAATTTTTCTTGTATGATAAAATTTAAAACTTTGGTTAAAAATGTTAATTTTGGTTGCATAATATAATTGAAAACCATGGTCATCTAAATTAACTTCAGTTTTTCTCAATAAACTGAAATGTTTTGCTGAGTACAAGATTCACATAATTACATATAACCCAAGAAATTTATTTACCTTTTCTTATCCAAGAAAAATTATATATAAAAAACTAAAAATAATAATAATAAATAGAGACTGACACAGACAAAAAGAAACACAAATTTTCCAATCTCACAGTTCAGATTTAGAATCATTATTCAAAATGCAGAGAAATCGATATGGATTTTGGAACAATATACAATTTATACATAACAGAAATAACCATAGCATGTTAATAAAATTGAACATTAGATTCAACAGAAGATTAATCCACCCAATCCTTGTCATCATCAACGATAGACCGTGACCTAATGTTGATCCTGATCAGACACCGATCCTGGTTCCATACTTTTGGTCCTTTGAAGACTTGGAGTCCGATGAAGCCTACAACGAAATGAACCAGGGTGTGTTGTTGGTGAACATAGACAACTAGTTTTGGTCATACTAGGTTGTCTCATAAGTCCACCTTGTCCCACATTTGAACCTCCAACACTACTTGACATCACTTCACTCTTTGATGGAATCTCAACTTTCATTTCCTTACTTGCAACTTGTTCGTTTTCCATGCTCAATATTGTACAAAGCTTGCTAGACCAAATATATAATGTGATTTGAGGACTTTACCTTAAGAAGTGTCTTGAAGAGAGACGAGCAAATTTGGTTAGGAAGAGACAATAAAAAGTAGATATGTATGAGATACAAACAATGTGATTTAGAAACTAAAAGTTTGCTTTATTTCATTGTCACGGTTTTGATAATCAAATCCATTAATTCTCCTACCTATATTTTGATCACTTTTTAGATTTTTCAACAACTGGCAACAAGGAATCATATCTAATAGAGCCACCGTCGTTTAATTTTTCTTTTTATTTTATGATGTTGCATTGTATGGTGACCTAAATTAGGCTTTTAAACAATGAGCAAAATGGTTTTAAGGTCCCACCATTAGGAATAGGATAGAATATATTAGAGTGGGAGTCAATTATTATTGATTAAAAACTGATGTGGGTCTCAATTTGTATTTTAGAATTTATGCATGTATACCTTGATGGATAAGATGCCTTTGTTATTGTTATATAGTTGTGTCATTGTTCAATGTTTGCAATGAAGAGAGACAATGACTTTGATGAATTTATGATAACTAAGTTCACTTTGTCTTTAGAGGGTTCGTAATAACGACCGCTTTTAAGATTGACAAATATTTGATAACTAATTGAATTATATCGTAATTAATTTTGGAGTATGTTAGGAGCTGGTACATGATCACCAGTCTAATGTCTATTTTATATAAGTTTGATTTCTATATTATAAGATTTAGATTTGTTAAATAAATTTTGAGTTTTTTCCTTATTCAGCTCCTTTCATGAAACTCTTAGTTCTAATTGGTATTATAGTTGATTACAATTTAGGATCTCCGTGAATTACGGACCCACACTATTTTATAGAGGCACTAAAATTTGTGCTAGTTGTTTAATGATCAACCACACTATTGCGGAAAGATTGAAAAGGGTGATTGGTAAGATCATTTCGGTTTCTCAAACTGTTTTCATTCTTGGACGTTAGATTTATGATGGTGTAGTTGTCGTGAATGAAAGTATTGATTATGTTTCAAAGTTTGATAGAGAGTGTTTGATTTTGAAAGTGGATTTCGAAAAAACATATGATTGTGTTTCATGGAGTTATCTTAGATACTTATTCAATAGATTTGGGTTTGGATCTAAATGGAGATTATGGATGGAAGTATGCGTGTTTAAGTCCTCTTTTTCTGTTTTGGTTAATGGCAATCCTACCAAGAATTTCGTCGGGTCCAAGGGTATTAGACAAGGGGATCCTTTGTCTCCCTTTCTCTTCGTGCTGGTTGTGGAAGGGCTACTGGGTTGGTAAACAAGGCCAAACTGAATGAAGTTTTCAAGGGTTTTAAATGTGGGGATAGTTGTGATTATGACATATTACAATTCGCGGATGATACGATCATTTTGGGGGAGTGTAGTTGGAATAGTTTGTGGGCTATGAAGGCGATTTTCAGGGGGTTTGAGTTGGTGTTGGGATTAAAAGTGAACTTTGGCAAAAGCAAGTTGTATGGGATAAATTCAGAGATTTCTTTTTTGGCTTCCGCGTCTGATTTCCTGTGTTGCTGTATGGACATGATTTCATTTAAGTTTCTTGGAGTAACTGTTGGTTATAATCCTAGGAGGGTGGCGTCGTGGAAAGAAGCTATCACATTTTTGAAAGCGAAACTCACAAGATGAAAAAGAAGATTTTTGTCTTTCTGAGGTAGATTAACCTAGCTGAATTTGACTCTTAATAGTTTACCAATTTTCCTTCTGTCTTTTTATAAAGCTCCCAAAGCAGTGTTGAAGAAGATAATTTCATTACAAACAAAAATTTTGAGGCAAGGCATAAAAGATAAAAACAGGATCAATTGGACTAGTTGAGAAACTGTTTGTAAATAAAAAAACGAGGGCGGGTTGGGAGTTAAGGATATATCTTTGGTTAATAAGGCTCTTCTTGCAAAGTGGAAGTGAAGATTTCTCAACGAAAAGAAGGCGATTTGGAGGTAATTTCTGGATTTTAGGTATGGTAACGTGACGCAGGTGGTTCTGAGTCAAAGCTTGGGTAGGAATTTCAAGAAATCATCGTTTGGATGGAGAGATTTGTTCTTTTTAAAACTGAATTCAGAAGATTTGAGAGTTGGTTCTGCTCGAATATTCAAGGCAAAGTTGATAACGGAAAGATGTTGGATTTCTGGGACAATTGTTGGTGCGCATCTCAGGCCTTACAAATTCTGTTTCCGAAAGTGTTTAGTATCTGCAGTAACAGGCCAGTCCAGGATTTTCATTATGGCAGCTGGGTCGCAGATCAGTGGTGTTGGAAGTGGAACTTTTTTTTATCAAACTTCTGTTTCGCTAAACGGATTGCAAGGACAGGAGTTTAGAACTCTGCTGTCATCGGCTTCGGATAACAGAGTTTCGGAAGATAGTTTCAATTGGAAGGCGGAGGTGTAACACCTCGCTCCCCAAAATTAAAATTAATTGCAAATGAATTAAACAATTAGCAGAGTTGCCACACCAAAGCGGGATATCACAAAAGAAGCTCAACAAAAACACTTCATTATATGGTTTTCAAAAATAAACAGCGGAATATCATATATATATATATACGTCATATTCGGCCATCCGCCCAAAATATACACAATATTCATCAAAGGTTCCAACAAAACATGATACGCCACGGAGTAAAACAAAATCATCAGAAAACAATAAACTCCCAAAGCCCCGTGTTACGTATCAGAGCATCCCTATGACTCGACTCGCCACTATCCAAGCTAGCTACGCACCTCGATTATCTGTACTTCCGAAGAAGCACAGACCATAACAACAGCAAAAGGGGTGAGAAATCATGATCACAAATATAGCGGTAATAATGTACATGAATAAAAGGCAATAAATAAACAATCATCACCCCACAAACATCAAACAGGACCTACTGTCCAATCCTCAACACAACATATCACAATGCAAGTATGCAACCCAACACATGCATGCGGTACCGACTCATCATCACCGATGGACACCGGGCCATCAACCCTCAATAAAGGAGCACATCATAAACAGGATAGATCACTTATGCTCCTCTTGAGACATGATCTATCCCCACAATTCTCCACAAAGGAGTACGGATGAATCACTTACGCTCCATCCGAGACATGATTCAACCCCACCATTCTCCACAAAGGAGTACGGATGAATCGCATACGCTCCTCCTGAGCAACGATTCATCCCACCAAGACACCATGATATGCACGACACCAATGCATAACAACAATCCAAGCACACAAGGTGCACACGATCCTCCTGATCACATTTTATACATCGCACATACATATTCCACACATCACCACATTCATACCTAATAACATACACCAATTTAATTATTCTATTTAAACGAATAACAAGGAAATCACATTCCAACATCAAACATACACTCTTCACCGTTCAGCACCAATCTATATTCAATCATGACCAACAGGGGTCCTACGATACAAGTGAACAGAACAGAACAACACAAAATCAAAAAACTACTGTCATGCTCGCTGGCTCATTTGCCTGGCGAAGCATCAGCGAATGCTCGCCACTTGCTCTCCCAGCGAACTCCCTAGCGAAGGCAGACAGTGGCTACTGGAAGCACTCGCTACCCAGTTTGCCTAGAGAATTCCTAGCGAAGGTTCGCTACTTGCTCTCCTAGCGAAAGTACTGGCGAACGCCTGCGATTTCACAAAAACCCCACTATTCAGAATCGATAAAACTCTCTGAAATCATCCGATTTCACTCAAACCGGTTCCCACAACACTAGTTCAACATTCTATGACTTAGCTACATAATCTATTCTAGATTCCACCCGATAAAACATCAGCTCTACCGATTAAATAATTTTCGGCTTAAAATTGCAAACTACCCGAAAACCCTAAATCATCCAAACAATTATTCTACAACCACATGCAACAAACCTATCATACCAGTAATAATTAAAATCACAACAACACATCAAACATGTTCATCAATTCCTACGGGATTGGGGAAAATCTCTTCTACCCAACATTCATGCAAACATACCAATTTCGACCCGTTTCTCCCCCCCCCCCCCTACCTCGATCAGATTGAAGAAGACTCGGTAATCCTAGCTTCCTCTCTTCTTCCTCTTTGATTCTTCTCTTCAATCTCTCTTCCACTCTAGACCGTGTTCTTCTTTTCCAACTTCCTCTCCTTCTATCGTGTTCCTCTTCTTCTTTCTTTCCAATATTTTCTTTCTTCCCAAAAACTCCCTAATACCTCCTTTCTATTCTTACTCGCTTAATAATAATAATAATAATAATAATAATAATAATAATAATAATAATAATAATAATAATAATAATAATAATAATAATAATAATAATAATAATAATAATAATAATAATAATAATAATATTAATAATATTACCATTATTTATTAAATTATTATCACTAATAATTATATTATTAATATCAAAGTCCAAAGTTTAGTAACTAATCTCCATACTTAAGGGCACTCACTATCGCACTCAACCACACCCCCACAAAAGGAACACCGAAAATAAAATAACACCGAAAAGACTAGATAATTAAAATGGGTGTTACAACTCTCCCCCACTTTAATTATTTTCGTCCTCGAAAATTACCTGATGGAAACAACTCTAGATACGCATCCCACATCCTGCTTTCCAATTCCCAGGTCACACTGCCTCCTGCAGCACCTCCCCAAACCACTTTCACTAAGGATATCTCCTTCCCTCGGAGTTGCTTCACCTTACGATCTTCGATCCTCAACGGCATCGTCTCAATAGTAAGATTCTCCCGGACTTGTACTTCATCTCTCTGAATCACATGAGATGGGTCCGTGATATACTTTCGAAGTTGCGACACATGAAACACGTCATGCAAATTCGAAAGTTCAGGCGGCAACGCCACCCTATAAGCCACATCACCAATTCTCTGCAAAATCTGATACGACCCAATAAACTTCGGATCCATCTTCTTGGATTTCAAAC